GTCGTCCCAGTTTGTTATCAAAAAGTTCCTTGTGCTCGTTCAGGACGTGTTCCAGCGACAACTTAGCGGGTCCCTTTTCAGTCACTTAATTGACGCAACCTCCATTGGGCACCAGACCAAGTAGCTCTGCCGTTATTCCACTGAGGAGCGAGATTTACCCGTGAGCTGCTATGAGCCCTGGACTTCTCGATCGTTGGCTGCAGCTGTTACAAAGGATTGACTGTCCAGCTTCAGCGGAATACTCGATCCATACGGCAGCAGTCGTCGGTTCGTCTTTGCCGCTTTGATGCTGGCCAGTTTTACGAAGTCCTTTCTGGCTATGACGTCCGCTGATCCTCCAGTATCGACCAGTACCTTCATAATCTGGCCATTTAGTTTTAATGTCTTCAGCAAGTCCCTCTTGGCAGTGCCACCGCCGGACGTGAACGCCAAATCACTGGGTACGATCTCTTCTCTTATTACATTCACTCGCTTGATTAGACCGGGCTCGGTGACTTTCGCTCATGTTTGCAGAGTTGCGCACTTTATATCGGTCATTTTCCTTTTTTTAACGTAAAGTCCATGACTGACATAGCAACCTTCTTCTTCGAAACTGCTAGTGTGGGACCAATAAACTTACTTTGCCGCAGTCTACTTTTTGTCATAGGGCGCCGCATTGTGATTGAATCATAACATGTAGACTAGGCATTCCACGCGCTTTATGGCACTTATCGTTCATGGTGATGCGCTGTTTTGTACCTATCCGATGTGCGCACTTGGTAAACCCCTCTCCCTGAAACCAAAACCGTTTGGAAATACCTCCCGTCGTTCAGAATGGTCTCAGGAACTCATGGATTCTTGATCGCGTTGTTAGCCGCAGTGGTACCGCACTAGCCGCCGCACGTACTTGAACGTACACAACCCCCCTGAATACGTAATCTAAATAAATCGTGCTTTTGAAACGGCAGTGTGCCACATGGCTCACGTATACTGAGCTGGTAAAGTTTTTAGTTATTTAAGGCGAAAGCAAAATAGCAATCCTGACGGTTCAATCAAACAACATGGATGCCTCCATTGCATAATCCATGCCCGGCGCAGTCAGACCTTTTTTGAAACGCCTAATGTTCTAGCCTTTCATAAACTGCCCCAAAAATGTATACATCGATCGGTAAAATAGTGTGGCAATGTTAGCTACGGGAAACGCCTGCACACGCGACATATCACGTAGTACCTGTGAGTTTTACATGAAACACTGGCATTATAAGAACGCCTACTTATTCCCTGTCGCGCTGGGCTACACCAAACGCCTATGACATATCCGTATTGCACTTTATTAATCAATGCCGCGGTGAACTGTGAGCAGGCAGGCAGGAGAATCAAGGCCATATAAAAAGACAAAACGGAGCATTTGGTGTCAGAATAGCTCAGATCTTGCCCCCAAAGGTCTCCTTTCGCTGTACATGTGCATGCTGCCACTTACCACATGAAGCAGTGTTTGTCCACCGCGCCCTGAGTGTGACGGCTGGCGAACCAGGTAAATCGAAATCGCTTTCAAGATAGTGCAAGAAAAAGATAAACGCAAATTGAATCTGAACCTGTAAGGGAGTAGTTGATAGTGCTGTCCCCTTCCCCCTTGAAGAGTGGGGCTCATTGCCCCCTTTCTCCCCTCCCTGTTTCTACGCCCATGGAAATCCGGGCTGCCTCTATGCCCGGCCAATGCGTTGTACAGTGGTTCAGTGCGGTGCAGTGAATGCATTTTGTGAGTGGCATTAATGCGTCTTGCAAGCGAGGCTTCGTCATGGAAAGACCGGTTGCCTGTCGAATGGCACCATCGGCACCATTTACGGACATGTCCGAATGCGCAGCAGTTGGGCTCCTTGTGTCAGGAAGGCTCACGGAGGGCTACCTGTGACTGTCGTGCACGGTTCGCCAGTCGGGCTCCTTGCGTCAGGAGGCTCACGGAGGCCTACCTGTGACTGTCGTGCACGGTCCGCCAGTCGGGCTTCTTGTGTCAGGAGGGCTCACGGAGCCCTACCTGTGACTGTCGTGCACGGTCCGCCAGTCGGGCTCCTTGTGTCAGGAGGGCTCACGGAGGGCTACCTGTGACTGTCGCGCACGGTCCGCCAGTCGGGCTCCTTGTGTCAGGAGGGCTCACGGAGGCCTACCTACGACTATCGTGCACGGCCCGCTCAAACAATTGTGCTGTTTCCAGAGCAATGAACACATGCTCGTGATGTCGCTTTGGTATCATTGGTTCCGCGCTATGGTAACATCGATCCGATGCGATAGATACTGCGGCCTCCTTACGATCATGAAATGCACAGAGAAAAAAGCTCTCGGAGGAAACACATATATTTTGTCCCACGCATGCAGCATGCATGCTACATAGTCACACAAACAATACGATACTCTTTATGTTACTGCTTAGGCAACGAGTACAGTAACAAACATAATCAGCGTTTAATGAAATAATTAGGGGGTGTAACTATGCCTCCGGTAGGCTCGAGTAAATGGAGCATTAGCACTAAATGTGGTATCACTATCGCTGCATCATGGCTCTTTCTGTACTTAGAGCATTCCAGTTCTAACATGAAACATCCGTATTCTTTGTTTTGTGAGGGCTAGGCACTTTATTTCCAGCATCAGCAATAATAATTTGAAGGTCATATTGGCAACACACGTGATTCTCCATTTGCACGTTAGGTCGGGGTTAGACAGCAGTTTCAGGTACGATGAGCACGCCTCTTTTGAGTAGCACGTGCTCCAGTGCCAAGTAAACATTGGACCACCATGCTTGCTGAGATGACGTCAGGAGTGGCAGATACACGATACTCTCACAAATATATGGAGATACTTTGCCGTGTGTTCTTCAGCATGAATAATCCTATACACAGTGTAAGTGCGCGAGCCTATCATTTTCCGAGTACAAGAACCGCACAAAGTCATGTGCGAACATACGCCCAAACTGCCAACGTTTATGCTACGTCAGCGACCACCACTCCGCATTTTACACTACGTCACACGAAGTTTTACGTCTCACGGTAGCACCCCAGCGCGGCGTGAGATCCATAGTTCGGCGACGGTGATCACAGTTTATAGCTCGTAGGTCCCAGCGCAAGCGACCCAGACGATAGGCCATTATCACTTACGCGTAGCGTGCTGGATGCCAAGAGAACTCTTAGGAAAGTTGACTTTGCCTTTTCCAGCTTGCATGTTTCAGATCAGTATGACACATTTCAATTTCAGGTTTAATGTTATATGTAGCAGGTCACACCAATTTAGTTTTACGTCGCAGGTCACAGTCGCATGTCACAAACTATATCATCGGGGCATTAGTCCTGGGTCGCGGGTCAAATGTTCCGGACTTCACCCGCTATTCTGCGGTCATGTGCCATAGATCCCACATAACGGAATGAGGGACCCGGTCTGCACCTGCCTTTTGGATCGCTGTCAGACGGACAGACTCACCCAGGCCATACTCGACAGGTCCTCCTAATCTGAGGTGCCAGTTCCAGGACCGACTCGTGGCCAGCTCGAATCAGATCATGTGTTCTAGCTAAAAATCCTCACGTGAGTCTCACGTCCCAGGTCGCATGTCCCCAGTCCAGGGTCCAAGTCGCAGGTCACACGTCCCAGGTCACCTATGCTTGGTCCAGGGTCCAGGTCGCAGGTCACACGTCCCAGGTCACGTATGCTCGGTCCAGGGTCCAGGTCGCAGGTCACACGTCCCAAGTCAGAGGAACACCGGATTGACGTGCGGCTCGGCCAGCCGGCCGGGCCGCGGCAAGCTGGTGATCTGGTGGCGCAGCCGGACGCCGCGCGTCCTCTGACGTACCCCCTCTAGGTTGCCGTCCATTGATGGCCAGGTCTGGACGGCGGGCCGGGGCGGCCGGCGCGCCGCCGCCGCCGCCGTCGCTGCCGCCGCCGCCGGCGCCGGCTCCAGATGCTGTAGGCTGGTGGCGCGCTGCAGGCTGAGCCTGGCCGGCTTGCGTGGTGGCCGCGGCTTCTGCAGTGTGGCCGCTCCGCCCAGCCTCTCGCCAAACAGCTGCAGCCGCTGCAGCAACGAGCGTGGCCTCGGCCGGGCGAGCCACTCCGAGGCCAGCGGGCTGGCCGCGCGCGCCGCGCTGCCGGAGCGGGCCCCACCGGCGCCGCTCCGTGCCGCACCGCTGCCGTTCACCGGTATGGTGGCCTTGTGCGGGCCCCGCGCGAACACTGGCGAGTCCTCGCGAACCTCGGCACGCGCGTGGAGGGCTCCCTCGTGGGTCCGGCAGGACGCAGGGGTGTCTTCTTCGGCCGCTTTCACGGTGACCAGTGTGGACTCCTGGGCGCAGCTCAGGCTCTCGTCGGTCACTCCTCGGATCTTGTCGAGAACTCCTTGCATTTGTTGCACCTAAAAAACACGTCACGGTTTGACGACGAGCTGACTATCTTAAACAAACAGACGCAGCTCTCTTAAACGGCTGATGCATATCAGGCACACACAGTCGATAAGATTAATGACCATCACTTGACAGGCTTAACTCGTTCCAAAAAATATCATCAGTCAATTACAGATAACAAACCAGAGCTCACATACCAATGGGATAGACATTACTCGATAGCCTCCCGTATCTTTACATGAGTTACTTATGACATAGTTTGCCTAGCCTACACATCATGCTCTGACGTCCAAAGGCGAAAGTCATTATATAACATAGCACTGAGGCCTTTTTGCCTTTATGACTTGAGTGCTGGCTTTTATATCATTAAGCTTTCTGCACATCAGGTGTCGCTCTGTTTATCAGGCCAGAAATACCGGGCGTCAGCACCGATTTCTAACGCAGAGTTTTTTTTGTGTGCACCGCTGCAAGTTTCACATATAGCGCTGTCCGCCCTCACTCGCTGCTCCAGCTGCTGAACGCGGCGCGCCTGCTGCTCGTTCTCGCGCGCGTACGCCTCGGCCTGGCGCCGGTCGCGCTCTTGTTGGCTGTGCAGCGTCTTGTTCTCCCGCGTCTTCTGCTCGAGCCGGCCAGCCAGCAGCGCTAGCTCCTGTCGCAAGGCGGCGGCGGCGCCGCGCCGGCCAGCCAGGCTGGGCGGCCGGCAGCGCACGGCCAGCAGCTGCACTGGGCTGCCGGCCTCGGCCAGCAGCTGCAACAATGCCGGCCGGCTGCCGCCCAGCACTTGCTGACCGTTCACCTCCAGCAGCCTGCGACGGGGAATGGGGGGGGGGCTCGTCACGGAAGGCGGGCATCACGCGGCACAGCGCCAGGCGTCGGCCCTCCGGAGCTGGGCAGGGCGGTGTTTATGGGGCATCCGATAAAAAGCCTCAGTGATTGGACACGGAGTGAGTAAGGGCCGGAAACGACGACTGACTGTTGTCTAGTGCCCGTTGCCTGTGTATCTCCCGAAAGAACGATGGTGCCGGATGGGGAGGTGGGATGGGGTTGTTGACTGTTGAGCGGCTCACAATGCCGTCAGCTTGTGACGTGCGACAGTCCGGTGTTGGTTAACGGACGTTCCGGTTGACCTGCAGTGGTCTGTGTAGACAGGGTAAACACTGGGCACACAGTACGGCGGCAGAGGAGAAAAGAAAGAGGGAAGAGAGAGAGAGGGAGAGAGAGAGTGTGTGCGTCAGAAAGGCAGAGAAAGAAAAATGAAACATGAGAGAGGAGAGGGCAAGACAGACAAAAGGACGGTGAGAGAGAAAGAGGGAAGATCGAGAGAGGTAGAGAGAGAGAGGGAGGGAGAGAGAGTGAGAGAAAGGGCGTGCGAATAAATAAGGGCAGATAACGCTAGGGTTATCTCGGGCCAGCGTCATTCAATTCCGATATCCCATTGAAAATATGTGGTCACGCCATGGCAGTCACGTTCTGGAGGTGTCGTACACCACGACGCCGATTCGATAGCAACACCAGTGTGTAACATGCATTCACTTTGCATCAACACGGCATGGTTGGTACGCTCCACTTGCTACGATTCGATGCGGTGCCTGATGTATTCATTCCAAGGCGGTATACATGGCCAGTAGATGCCGTCCGGCAGCAACAGCGGTCATGCCCCCGAACGGGTTACATTGTAACAGACGTCTGCTCGTGCTTCCCCCAGTCCCTGCTCATTCATGGTATGCGGTGTGTAAGACTGTGCCGACTCATAAAACACTCGATGCCACTTCTTAGTCAGCCCTGCAGCCGGACCTCGCCCGCTCATGTCCCACCGGTTCGCACTATTCGACCCCGGCCTGCGTTAAACACGATCCGCCCACATCCCTGTCCGCTCGCGGCCCGCCGGTGCGCGCCCGTCAGTTTGAGCTGACCCACCTGTCGCCGCTCCTCAGGCCGCAGTGGTCGTGTGCCCACTCCACCTGCACGCCCGTCTCCGGCCCGAGCTGGGTCAGCGTGAAGCAGGGCGCGCCGGGGTCGTACGGCACCGCCAGCGGGTGCAGCGACACCTCGCCGTGGCTCGGCAGGCAGCTGGCGGACAGCGCAGCGGCGTCATGAGTGCGACAGCCGCGCCCACGGACTCTGTTGTGTGTTCCGCTCGTGCGAGTGCGATTCGGAGATCGCCGATGACCTCGCTATACTGTCAAGCAAAATAAAATACACCGGAACGATTCTAGAAAGCCCGAGCAGTCGGCTTGTGTTACTGAACGAGTGCGCTATGAAGAAACGATACCATTCGGCCGTCAAGCTCGGTATGGTACAAGCACGCGAAGTTACGTGTTAGTGCTGGTGCCAGGACAATCATATTCCTCACTCAAATCAAACAACCGTGCGACGTCTAAAGAAATGGATAGAGTTCATCCATCCTCAGAATAAAGCGGCGCTTATATTGGAGAGAAAGGCGCACTGCGGGGCGCCGCTGCGTAACCGGGCTGACGACACACCTGGAGAGCGAAATGGGGCGCGCTGAAGCGGCGCTGTCTTCGGCCCCCTCCAGTCGCGACTTGAGCCGCATGTGCTCCCCCTGCAGGTTCAGAATGTTGAGCTCCTCGGTCTCCAGGTGGTACTCCAGCTCCGCCCGGCGGATACAGTCGTCAATGTTCCGTCTGAAAGTTGCAGGAGCCTTGGGAATTGCAAGAAAAACTGAACAGTAGTTCGTCGGTTGCAGTAAATGCTGGTGCAGAACTGCAATGGGCGCAGTGAAAGGCAGCCGCAGCCGGTGTTTTTGCCCGTTGACGCAGTGTCATGTAGTAGTTTATGAGCGTCCGACGCACGTTTGGTTGCCAAAGACAGTATTTGGCATATTTGGTGGTTTGTTTTATCATGCTTAACCAAACTTGGCGTGCACGACGACCGGTGACGTCATCAATTATGAATCGTATTCCGAAAGCTTGCCTGACGCGAGTTAATTTGAACGCCGCGTGGGTGACGTGTCCGAGTGGTAGCCCACTGAGCTCCGATAGTGACGGTTCGATACTTGCTGCCAGCTGCGCTGTGGTTTCCCTCACTGCAACCGGGGTGGAACAAGGCGACTCGAATGGCCGTGGTAATGGGATCTATAACGAAATCAGCTAAGCTTTTTGTGCTTCGCGAATCGTCGTAATACACTGGTGATTCATGCGTTCCTTTTCTGCGGTGTAACGGAGTAACAAATACTCAGCCAGATATCACGTAAAGTGTCGGCGAGTTGGCACGAGGCGCGTGCTGTAAGTGCTCGTGATGTCATGTATCCCGTTTTAAGCGTGGGACAGCGCTGCTGGACTGCTGCTGGACCTCCGCGGCCACTCACTCGGTCGTGTCGATCTGCTCCAGCGTGATGCGGGCGTTCTTGACGTGGGCCCGCCTCCTGTCGATCTGCTGCTGCAGGTGCACCGATCGCTCCAGCAGCAGAGCGCGCTCTCGCTCTCTAGCCGCGCGCTCCGCCTCCCGGCTGGAGCGAGACTGGCACACCGCCAGCAGCTGGCTCTGCAAGCTGCCAACACCGGGTCAGGTCCACAACGGTCGGCCAGATGGACTGGAAGCACCGGGCGAGCCCAACAGCTGGCTGTGTAAGCCCCCCCCCCCCCCCCCCACACACACACCGGAGCATACCAACAACTGACTCTGTGAACCACTGTGAGCTGTTGACTCTGAGTTGACTCTGTGATCTGCAGGCAACGAGTCACACCAACCACTGACTATAATCCCTGGATGCTGACAATTGACTCTGCAAGCGGCAGGCACCAGGTTACATATTGCCAAACTCCGATAGAGCACGAGATGATGATTGGGGGCCTCATCATGAATCATGTGGCTCCCAGCCGGGCCCACTGTGTTAGCTCGCCTAGGCAGTCCTCATTCTGTTCGAACCTGTCCACTCGCCCTGGTGCTGACCAAATGACATGGCCTACATTTTTCCCCGTTACTTCGACAGCTTCTTAATTCGTCGCTGTGTGTGTTGTACATTCCAATTGACAAAGGTGTCGACAAGATTGATGTGTGCTGATGACGTAGCCTATGACAAGAGCACCGGTACTGCTCACCAAAATGACGCTGACCCCCAGCTGGCTCTCTGTTCGTGACCTGTTGCATTGCAAATCGTCAGTCGTATCAGTCGTATTAGGACCACTGGGCCAGGAAAAGGGTTTCCCGGACTCTAAGGGCGGAACTGGACCATAAATCCTCGTGAAAGCTTCTCCGCTTTCTTTCCATGTTGGCAGCACCACACGGATGGGTCGTTTACCATGTGCGGCGACGGACGTTTGGGTGATGCCCAAAGCACCTCTCGAAACACTGGCATCGTAAAGGCCAGGTGTAATCCGAAAGCACCGAAACATGTAACACTGGAACGCACAATGTCGCGGCGATAGCGCCTTCGTTATATGTCCTGTTTTCCTCTCCCATCCCGCTACTGCAGGCTGTCAGTGCGTTGATCATGCATGCCGTCTTGACGACATCGATTGAAGGCTAACTCCTGTCGTGCGACAAAAACTTAATCGCGTTTGTTTTATATTGCCTTATAAGCCGTTCTACTTCCATATTTGATGCATGATTCATGCAAACCAAGGAAGTAAAGTACGTATAACTGTGTCACGTTTTAACGGTCCATCGGAAGCGTTTCGCTTGGTCAGTGAAAATCATGGTGCGACTGAGCAACCCAACTTTTACATGCACTTAGTTAAAGGAACAGTACAGAGCCGTGCCAGTTATCGGAGGCAGGAAGTATGCTGGGTATTCGGCTGTGACGGGAGAGGGCGCCAGGCCGACAGCCGTTCGTCGGCTCGCCGCCAACTACCAGCTTGGTAGTTGACTTCACCAAGACCATCCAAGCGCGGCGCGAGCATTGCATGACCCCCGCCAATTCCACAGGTCAATGCAAACCCAAGTCCGGAAAGCGGCGCTTTCTCTCCACGACGATTCCGGCGTGCGCTCCTCGTCCCGGAAGTTTCAGGCCTGGCCATGTGACCCCGCCGGCCGTGCTCGTGACGGGACCGTGATCACGTGACGTCGTGACGCGCGGGGTCGGCGGGCCGGTGACCCGTCCCTGGGAGCGGGGCGACGGCTGCCGCTGCGGCCGCTGTGCGACGCTCGTCTGCAGCGCGGGCAGTTATCGCGGTCATTACGCGGCCTGATAGGGCGCGGGGCACCCGCCGCACCTGCCGCCGCCGCCGCCACAATGGGCCATAACGTGGCGGCCTAATGTCAAGCCTGTCACCGGGCCTTGAGCGTAAGGCTAAGGCCACGGAAGATTGGATGATATGTAACACCATCGCCATTCTTTACTATCGGTGAATGCCATTCGTATTGATGGCATGCTGTTTTACTCAGGTTATGTGATGCCTCGATAACAAGCTTACTAGTTTATCAGTTACCTGGGACATGTGTGTGCTCTCGTTCGCTGCCCATTGACACATCGCCCCACAAAACCCGAACAATAACACCGTCGTAGTGACCATTAATACATTTTGGATTACCCTTGCCTTGTTTTGTCGTGCACCGAGCTACGGGCGCTGCTACTGATAGTGACGACTGTTAGCTAACGGTAGACTGTCGCTGATCGACCGAGTGCTACCGGCCAGCCGGCTGTTCCGTCTCGACAGACGGCCAGCTGTCACCGATCGGCGCCAGTCCGCCGCCTCTCAGCGGCAGCCGTCGGGCCGAGCTCGCCGCGCCGCCGCCGGGCGCCGTCAAACCAGCCGGCGGGGCCGCGCCTCTCCAGTTCAGCGGGTCAGCAGGCGCTGGCCGGGCCGGCCCAACGGTCAACAGCGCCGAACGAGCGCCGAATACCGTACGGTCACTGATGCACGACGCGATTGTCCCACCTGGATATGAGCAGATCCTTCTGCTTCAGCGCGGCCTGGAGAGCCTCCATCTCGATGGCGAGATGGGAAGAGGCCGTCGCACAGTTCTTTGTCTCCGGAGCGAGATCGCAGGAGATGGTTGCGAGACCACCTGTCTCTCTAACGAGATCACAGGCGTCCCGGTTTGGATTGTTCGCGCTCGGGCGCGGGTCGGAGGTGGCTTTTCTAAAGTTGGCCTTTTCCGGAACTAGGCCACAGTTCTCCTTCGCGGCGCTGTTTGTATCCATGATGAGATCCAAAACGTTCGTTGCTTTCATGTGGTGGCTTTCCGTTACCTTCAGTTTTCCTACGGCTGCCATCTGAAAGGGATACAAATTAAGAAGTGTTTGAAATACACATGAGCAGCATACCAATGGGTATTAACTGGAACTGAAAACGGAGTTTGGAAAAATATCTGTCACAACGTGAGTCATCATCAGTGTCGGTGAGATCCATGGGGATCAATGTTGGTAAATCCTGTGAGGAGATAAGAAAGGACACACAATTTTGCTCTGCTCCTTTCCGCGCAAAGACGACACAATGAAGCGAATGCACATCTTTACTGGAGGCGGGCGAGTCTGTCACTCCCTCTGTCGTCCTCTCCGCTTGCTTCGTCCCTGGTGGCTATACACACTTTGCTCTGTAAATGCAACCTATTTGAGTTATATGCGCGTTGTGGCACGATAGTGGAGCGATTGCTGTTTGAGACACGAGGGAGTACGCGAGCGTTCAAATTACGCGAGATCGCGCGAGCGCTCAAATCCGAGCCGCTCGGATCTGGCAGCGCTCTGCGTTCTGGCAGCACGCTGCTCCAGTCCTTACTAGCTTTATTTTACCAGATACTGAAGGCAGAGCGAGCCGTGCCCGCCCAGCCACGGGTGGCGGCGCGATCGGCCGGCCGATATCGTTAGGGCGGCCGCTCGCCCGGACCCGGTGCCGGGGCTCGTCGGACGGTTCCAGGCGGCCCAGCGGAGGCCGCCGGTTGCCGACCAGCCCGCCCCACCCTCATTAGCCGGCCTGCCTGAGAGCGGCGGTGGCGTGCGCCGGCGCGCGGACACGATCACTGATTGGCCGGCTAATCCTCCGGGGTCAGACGGGAGAAAGAACGCCGCCCGACCCGCCAGCTTCCGGCCGCTGGCGCCGCGCGCGGCCCGTGGAATGTGGACGGGACAGGCGCGGCGGCGGCCGGCCGTCCGGGTCAGACTCCCACGCCGGCCGGTTCGGTGCCGTATGTCCGGCCGGGCGCTGAGCAGCGCAGGCGACTGCCGGCACCTCTGCCAGGCAGTCGCCTCTGTTGACCGCGCTGCTGCAGACGTCACGTCTCCGGCTGCAGCCGGTGGGCGAGGACGCGGCTGAAACCGGTCACCGGTGGCCGCGCCGTGACGTGGGCTGTCCCGAATTTGGGCAGGGGCCCGGCGAGGGAGGAAACATCGGCGTCACCAGTCATGCAGGGGCGGGCACGACCGCTCGGCTGGCGGCCAGCTCGAGAGTTCCAGGTCAGCGGCCGCGCGGCATTGCCTCGCCCCTGATGTCCCCGATCCAATGCAAACAGGGCGCAGGTTCGCTGGCGGTCTTTCAGTAATGGCTGTCATTGGTGTCGGTGCAGAAACGCTAGCCTCCCGCAGACTGCACGTTTTATCGGTGAACTGAATCATTCGCAAGTAGTTTCTGTGTAAATGGAAGGACCGCCAAGTCTAGAGATCCAGCCCACAGACTGTATGAGGGTTGTGTGAATTATAACTGAGGTAATATAGAACACAATTATGGAACTCTGGAAACGGCAAAAATGGTTTGTTTCTTTGCGTTCGCTCTGCAGTGTAATGGATCGAAATGTGTCCAAGTCATCCAGCGCGACGGCTTGATGGTTTGGCATACACTCGCTTTAAACGTAATAAGGGCATTGCGACATAGTTGTCTGTGACCACTCTGCCAACTGACTCCCTCAATGGGTTAGATAGGCAGCAATTCGTCTGAAGTCGGTCACGTCATGCGGTTAGTTGGCCCTCCATTGGTGGTAATGGGCATAATGGCCACGGGTAGAGGAGCACAGATGATATCATCTCAATTTATACGCCTTTCGTAGGAAGTGGACCAACTGGATAAACGACTATCCACATCCCGCTGTAAAGCAAGACCAAGACACGCATCAAAATTCGGCGTGTTTTGGTGAGCATGTTTGCAGCCGATCAGATATGCATTCTGCATTCATATCCACTCATGTACATGGTGCTAGAACTCCCGGCTGGTTGATCTGGATGTGGCTGTAGAATCGCGGATTGGTCAATTGATCCTGATTCGACCTGAAATGGCTGACACCGGTGAGGTCAAAACCTGGAACCTTTGCTTCCGAATCGGTTTTAGAGCTTAACGAAAACAAACACACACACAATTTACGAAGATTGCGCTGTTATGGTATGCACTCGAGTGTCAATGACTTTCATCAGGAAGTGCCTGAATCTTCGAAGTGGTGTTATGGATTTTGAAATCGTCTCCCGAAGCTCACGATTTCGTTGATTGCGTGTGTGTGTGTGTGTGTGTGTGTGTGTGTGTGTGTGTGTGGTGTGTGTGTGTGTGTGTGTGTGGTGTGTGTGTGTGTGTGTGTGTGTGTGTGTGTGTGTGTGTGGTGTGTGTGTGTGTGTGTGTGTGTGTGTGTGTGTGTGTGTGTGTGTGTGTGTGGTGTGTGTGTGTGTGTGTGTGTGTGTGTGTGTGTGTGTGTGTGTGTGTGTGTGTGTGTGTGTGTGTGTGTGTGTGTGTGTGTGTGTGTGTGTGTGTGTGTGTGGTGTGTGTGTGTGTGTGTGTGTGTGTGTGTGTGTGTGTGTGTGTGTGTGTGTGTGTGTGGTGTGTGTGTGTGTGTGTGTGTGTGTGTGTGTGTGTGTGTGTGTGTGTGTGTGTGTGTGTGTGTGTGTGTGTGTGTGTGTGTGTGTGTGTGTGTGTGTGTGTGTGTGTGTGTGTGTGTGTGTGTAGGTGAGGGGTTCGCATAGAACGCCAAGAGAGCGAGCTTTGCGCGTCAAAACTTGCTGTTTGCTATGGGGATTCTTTACAGCAAAAACACTTTCTTAAACTTCTTAATATGGTGAAGGAAGAAATTTCTTTAGACAGGGCAAAGATGTGAATACATGCTGAGCTTTAACGTCGACTAACTATTTGAAAAGCTGTGAATTAACACCACATTTTCAACGAACGCGCAATTGTACATACAGACAGAAGACTAGATAATGCGATCTAGGTGTTAGGCGTAGATATACGATGGTCGCTGTGAAAACGTGGATTTGGACAAATTTGAGGGCAGGGCAGCCGTGGCTGGTGCCAAGATGCCTCTTGTTCTTTGCTATTAAGCATAAAAGAGATGCCTCGAGATGAAGCAGAGGGGCGTTTAATGCATTGAGTCTTCTACACCCAGTCCAATCCAGTCCCATATTTTTGAAGCTAATTTGTCCGCTTTCCATGTTTTCACAAGCGGAAAGCCCCATCCGAACCGACCCAATCCAGTTAAGCAAAAAGGACTTTTACCACCGAGACTGCAGGCCGGGTTAGTCCGTCTTCAACAAAAGGGAAATTTTCAGCTTTGGTGGCCCTACCCAGCCGTCACACACCCCGAAAACTAATGACTTTGCAACCGGCATCTGAAGGATCATATGGTTTTGAGCAACAATAGATCCACCTGTTCAGAACTTGCGCTCGATACATTGCTGGGTTTTGATGTGTAAGAGATTAATGACTTGTTTTTGTTGCAAAATTGCAATGCCGCCAACTCATCTTTACCATACGATCCACTTGAAAAACGTCAAGCGTAGAATTGCTAACAAAACTTAGAACACGAGTCGGAATCGTATTTAGATCTAGATGACCCGGGGACGCAGGAACGCGAAACTAACAGATACTAACGGAGGAGAACGCAGACAACCGGGGAGAGGCAGCAGGTTTGAGCAGGTGTGCAAACGGTCATGTGTTCCAGTGTATAAACCATAGACCTCCTCGTTTGGGACATTTTTAAGGAATGACATTGGATCTCAGCAACAGAAACAGAAGAAGACGTCCAGCAAACTGCCAGGAGAAGGCACAAGCACTGGCTACATCTCACTGATGAATCGCAAAACTGCGACTCGAGGTGCGCCAGCCATCGACCGAAAATGGCCTGTCATATCTATTCCAAAGCCGACCTCGAATACCAGACAATGTGTTCTATACCGAGACAGCTTGGGCCACGGCAGCTACGAAACAATATATCCCTTTTTGGGACCAACTGCCATCCAGGATAATGATTCGGTCCTTCCCTGGTGTACGTTTATGAGCAGCGGCCCACTTCAGTTTACAGGTATTTTAGTTTAGTTTACACTCTATTTCGTCTTGGGGACCACCTGTGCTTGCGCGTGTGGGTGACGTCTACCGATTGGTTAGAGGACCCAATCAGTAGACGGTAGCCAACTTCCTTACTTCGGCTTGGGGTGATCCTCTACTAAGATACTGAGGCGTTCCTGCAGGTACCAAAGCTAGGCGCGTGCTCATCATGGACCCTGACTAGTCTCCTCTGCCTGGGTTTGGCGTCTCGCCTTCGAAGCTTGCGAGTTGGAGCATAGCTTTGTCTAGGGTAAGGGCGTGCCACGCTACGTGGGGTTAGTCCTTCTACCTGGGTATAGGGTGTCCCTATCTCCGGTTTGAGTGTTGTCCATTCGCCTGGATCTCGGGGTGCTGTTCTTCTTCTACCTGGGTTTAGGGTGTCCCTATCTCCGGTTTGAGTGGTGTCCATTCGCCTGGATCTCGGGGTGCTTTTCTTCTTCGGTCTTGTGAGGCCCAGCGTTTGGTTTCTTGTGATGCGGACACTAATCGGGCCAAAAAAACATCACAATCCCACGTGCTTAGGGTTTCTGTGGCCTCTCGGTTGCCCACTGTGTAAAGATAGGATATTATAATAATACACTGATTACGGTTGACCAGATCGGGAATAAATCCCACCTCAGACCAACTATCAAAGTTGTTATGAATACATCACGAACTGTGGCGTAAGCAGTCTATGTTGGCCGGTGACATTGATCCATGCACCTCATGATTGATTAGCAGTGCATGAGTTGGTTGTAAGCGACTGGATCGATGGTTTTCCCATTTTTAGCCGTAGATGGTAGTAACATTTCGGTTCAAACGATGTATCAACGCCAAACTTGGCACACCATCACATATAACATTGCCTGCTCCTTGTTCCGTTGCTCATGCAATTACAAATGTAGCGATCGGGATAATCTATTGCAGGTGCTGGTTTTACACGTGCCAGACATTAAACTGCGTCAAAACGTATCCCGTGTTTCGCCGACGTCAAGATAATAACTTCCCGATCGCCACTTCAGCTGCCACCACAACAGTCACCACACCTTGATGGGCGAGCGGTGCGCAGTGCAGCTCACACTGGTGGCGTGTGGGATATCACCGCCAGATCTCGCCAACAGCATGTCACCAGTGTTCATGCGCACCGCGCCCCTGGCAAGTGTGGGGGGGGGGAGGTTCATGGTCTTTCCTGCAAGAGGCCCACCCAGGATCACACTGACCTGGGCTGACGAAGACCTGCTCCGATTCGATGACAC